CAGAATCGGATTGGCTGCCAGAGTCTGAGCCACTTCCTGAGTCACTGCTCCCTGATTGGCTGCTGCTGCTGGAAGAGCTGGAACTCGAGCCTGAGCCGGATCCTGAAGCTGAACCCGATCCAGAACCGGATTCATCATCAGAATTACTGTTACATATAAAGACATTAGTAATTACTAGATGAATCAAGTTCTCAAAGCAAAACATTACAACAGGTTTTACATACTTGAGCAGAAATAACATAACAAAAGTTGGGTTTCCCATATCAGAAACAGAAATCATTTAACCCCTTGGAGTCTCAACTGCTCACTCTCCAACCCCTCTCCTGCTCAGCCTGAAGGTGGAGATTGACACATGACACATAGGTGTATGGAATCAAAAAGAGGTGCAGCAATGCCTTCCAAAGAATTCTATATTTAAAAATTCTTGCTATACCATGAATGATTTTCTATGCAAATATAAATAAGACTATTTTGTCATAAACAGCAATAATCAACTGTTTCTCCAGTAAATATATCATGTCACAATATGAAACCACCTGCATCACTCATATCTCCAGCTTTAGAGAGCCATTAGTGACAATAGTGGAGCAGTACAAGAAATCCTGCCTGTGACAGGGATGGGCATCGGGATTTTATCATTATCAATTCTATTTATCAGGGTTGTCACATTATTAGAATTTAAAGTTTGATACCAATACCCAGGAAAGCACACGATTCCATTTCCAGGGCAAAAGTATCATAGCATGCTGCTAACATGGACACTGAATGTAATGATGTGAATGGGGACAGGACAATGACCAAGAACACAAAAATGAACTGCTATGAGACAGCCCTGATGGATTCTCATGGACTTGTCAAAACCAACAGACTTAGACAAAAACTTTTTTTTTTGTTCAGAATAAACAATATAAATTGACACAAGTTGTTTGTTTTTTTTTACCGTTAGGAACTGGAACTCAGTCAATCCTATACCCATAGACGAGAGCTGTGGGGAATTTGTAATTTGATTTGATATACTTTTATTAGTCCCCTTGGGACTAATAAAGTAATGCAAGTAAGAAAACCTTTTTTATACAGCACCTTTCACAGGTGAAAAACCACAAAATGCTTTACAATAAAAACAGGCATGAACAAAAACACAGAAGATTAAAACATAAAACAGTATACAACCTGAAACTAGTTAAAAGCCAGTCTAATTAAATTAGTCTTCAGCTGCTTCTTAAAAGAATCAACAAAACAGCGCAAACACGGAGGTAAGGCATTCCACAATCCAGGGGCCACAGCTCTAGAGGATTTATCCCCTCTGTTCTTAAAGTGAGTTTGTGGGATCATTAACAATCTTTGACTGGAAGATCTCAGACTGCAAGAAGAGTAAGGACTAAAATGTTTAAATTAATTCTAAAACGAACCAGTAGCCAATGTAAAGAGATTAAAACTAGAGTAATGTGCAGTCTCTTTCATGTGTTGGTTTAAAGCCTAGCAGCAGCATTCTGTACCGACTGGGGACGGTCACGTAAACACGTAAACAGACTGTCACACTAACCAAGACGAGCTGAAATAAAGGCATGGGTAATCATCCTTAATTCAGCTTTTGACAGAAGAATTCAAAGCTTAGAAATATTTCTCATTTGAAAAAACAAAACAGTTTCAAATTGATCCACGAGAATGGCTCTCCAAAGACATGGCTAAATAAAAAAAATAAAAATAACACCAAGGTTTCTGAATTTGGATGCTGAGGGATGACTATAACGTGTGGTACCTTTAACAACAATTTATAACCAACAGTTATAGATTAGTATTAGGGAAATGCTATACTGTCTCTATGTAGCTTTAAGTGCTTCACTGCAGCTAAAGCTAGCTAGGTTTCAGGTATTCATTTCTCTACTACTTTCTACACTCACATATACAGGATTTTATAAAACTGAATTATAATAAATGTGTAATTGTGTACATATTTTTCAGTTAAGTAAAAAATATAAAATGCATAACAAATGACATAAACATTTGTATTGGCTACTGACAAAGGGCCTCCGATGGTGTAACATTTGACACATTTGCCTGGCAAGCAAAAAATTGCTTTTGATTTGATTGGGGTTGCATCCAGAAAAAACTGTGCCAAATCAAGCATGTGCTGCCACCTTCTGTGGCAACCCCTTGTCACAAGGGAACAACCAAAATTAGATCTCTCCATCACAGATACCTTTTGACGGTTGTTACTATCGGTCAGGTGAATGGTTACAATCTAGTATGTAAGGTATGAGATGATGTTCTAAATAAGTAAACAACAAACTGTTATTTCTATTTGTGATAAAAAAATAAATAATCAATACCTGGATTCTCCACTGCTGTTGCTTACACTTTCATCCTCACTGCGTCCAGCCATGCTGAAGTCAAAAATATATAGACTTCAACCTGGCAACCTGTAGTAGTACGGTCCACGTGTTTAACCTGTGAGCAAAAATACACACAAGTTTAAAAAGAACTGTATGCTACAAATGCTACAAATACTTGGGGTTATATTATTACTCGTTGAAACAAGAATAATATCAGGAATAGAATTTCACAACAACATGCATTAAAATATCTGATTAGGTGGAGCTTGATAAAACTCAGTTCCATATGGCAAAGTACAAGCTTAGTGTACCACCCGTGACTGACTACAACCAATGCATCAAAGCTTGTCCTGTGAACCATGCAAGCAGGGACGCAAATATACTTTCGCTAAATTAGTTTCAATTGAAACCATTTCAAGACATCTATCAGGTCTGTGGTTTCATCCTGAGAGAAGTGAACCGCGTCTGAAACACAGATAAACGTGTTGAGATATGACTATTTCAAGTTAAAACTAGAAAAGTGTGATCTGTGTGGATGGCTGTCACTACATGCTACTTAGCTGAACGTCATTTATCCCACACCGCAGAGGCCTATCAGGCCTGCACTATACCAGCGTGTTTTCATGTACACATGAAGCTCCGTGTGTACCCGAAGAAGATGAAAAACTAAATAAATAAATAAAAATAAAATCAGAATAAATAGTTTCAGGACACCCTCAAGTCATCACTTGGGTACACTATCACTATGGTTACAGTTTAGCAAGTAGCTCAAGCTAACTAGCTATTACCGGCTAACGATGGCAGTATTAGCGATTGGCGGGTAGTAGTAGCGTATGCAGACATAGCCAGCTATAAAGAACAAATATACAAAATAAGATTCAGCACAAAACCTGCAACCACCTGATTACCTGTAACCACTTTGCTATGTTTATCTAGCTACAGTTTGCTAGCCGCTTTATGCTGTGCTATTGTTTTCTGGATTTAAAATCCTACACGTGACAACTGTGAACTTTATACCTTTACGGTATGCACCGCAACCAAGTAGCTCAAACTGTACGTACCTTTGGTACTTTGTTTCATTTTGTGTCAATGTGGGTGAAATAAACATGAGGAGAACTGGCTCACAGGCCATCACAAGGGCTGTCAAGGCAAACAGCATTAGCTAACGCTATGAAGCACGAGGCTAGCACAGAAGCTAACAAAATGAGAAAACTTTGCTCTAATAGGAAACCAATAGAATGATAACTTTAGAGTTACAGATGATACTCAAAGTTAATCATCAATAATATTTAACTATGTAAATATATGCGCAATCAGTGGATTGGGATGAACAGTTAAACAAATTTAGTATTCATCATTAAACCCACAAAACCAAATTAGCTAACCAACTTCACCCTCTCCCATCTTGTTTTCATTCGCTGTTCACTTCTCGCGGCTTTTACAACATCAACATGCAACGTTAGCTTACTTTTCGCTAGCGTAAGGACTAAGTAACTAAATGATGTGTGTTACCTGTCTTTAGTTTAGGTTACTCGTGAAACTCCGATAAAATATTTGTCTAAACCAGCCTTTCCAGTCCAGGGGTCCTTTCTTCTTTTATTTAACTGGCGAGCTAGCAGCTGCTGGTAGCTAATGCTACCGTAAACTTGCTAGCTATCTCCCGGTTAGGGAGCGCAGCCCGAAAGACTCCGGTCGATAGAACTGGTAGAATGTTGGTTTTCCTCTTCTTAACCAAAGTCCCGTTTGCCGTTTTAGAAGTTACAAAATACAGTGCCCGTTGATAAGCAGCGACTGTAGAAAGCTAGCATTTCAATCCAGTGTCTTTCCACAACCGGCCTCCGCCATGACGCCGTAGGGTTCACTTCTCCAGGAAACCCCGGACAGTGACGTAACGACTCTGCTCCTTACTCCTCCACTGTAGCAGCAGGAAACGTCGGTTTCTCATAAGTCGTCTTTATCTTTATTGGAACAAATGGAAATAAAGCTAGTCTGATAATTTAGGTCATCACAACAACAAGGTTATACATATACAAGGTCGTACATAAAAGTCCGTCTTGTTTAAGGAATTACGATAGCCGTCAACCATAGTTTTTGTAGTTTGAAACGTACAACCCTTCTCCAGACCGTGTGTGTGTTTGATCCACTTAACGTGCTTTCTCTGCTCTTGGCGAGTGTTCCTTATATATAAAAAAATGCATTTTGAAAAACAAGTACGTGAATCCAATACAAACTCACACGTACAGTCACCTGGGCTTTCAGAAACAAAATAGCTATTTAGAATAGAGATTATTTTAAATAAGCATGCCTGTTTTAGAGGCAGTGACAGCCGCACGCGCGCTATCTGAAAAACTATCCGCAAGCAGCAGAAAATTAAACCCTTATGTAGCAACATCACCACCTGCTGGCGACATTGTCTACTGCATGCTGAATGGACCTCATTTTACTTCTGTAACAAATTTGACATTAAACAGATATGAATTGGTCGATAGTGCATACACTGATAGAAATATGACAGATATGCCTGTTAACTCTGACAACAAGATGATCTGCTTCAGGGAATAAGGGGGCATTAGGTCGGCAGAATCACTGCATGTGTTTGTGGGTATGGACCAATAGGAGGTGATCCAGGGATGGCGAAGCTCCGGAAGCTCATATTCTGCATCTGTAAATATTTCAAAGCAGTAAGGATGCTACTGATGAGCTCCGAGGATACCACATTTGTGTCCACAGATCGCCATCAAATTTATCCAGCATAGTGATGTTAAAGTTATAGGCGACCAAACAGAATAAAAGCAATGGGGTGACTGATGGATAAGATAAACGGACTGTGCTCCAGAGGGTGAGTATATGACCGCAAATATCGATTCATTTCGCCGCATCTTTGTAACAGCTTCATTTAGATAGAATTTATATGACAGAAAAAACATGAGTTGACCCGATGATAATGTTCCAGGACAGGAATTAAACCTTGCAAATGATGCGGATAAAATGTGACACAGAGGCGTGTCCCAAAAGATCACTGGCGTGAACCCTTCTGTTGCAGGGGCAAGCATATTATTCGCTATGCTCTGTCGCACATGTAAGGATATTTTTATGATTAAAAGGCACGGATCACAGTTTAGCTTTAGCAGAACACACGTTACAAATGCAAAAATGGAGCTTGTGTTCAGCAGTAACACAGAAGTGAACTGTGGGCTCCTCCACTGCGCATGATTTGCTGCTTCTCCGTATAATCCGTTTATACCACAGTATGACACAGTTGTGTCTTAATGGCCCACTTGGGTTTTTTTCTGTTCTGGTGTGTGTGTGTGTGTGTGTGTGTGTGTGTGTGTGTGTGTGTGTGTGTTACAGATACAGAAGTAACAAAATTAAGGGAAATTTTGTGGAGAATACTAACAAGAGTCATAGTAAGAACACGGTATGGTAATCATATTGATGTTGATATTGATCATATTGTGGGTCAATTTACACATTCTCCATTTTATTTGGTCATGTTTCTCCTGTTTTTGCCTTAGTTACAAGTTGTTTTTGTCTTACAGATGTAACAAATTAAGATTCTTTCTTTCACTTTTACGATTGCGTGTTCTGGTCTTTGCAATTTATTTTTATTCTATGGAAAGGAAGGTGTGGATCAGTTTTGGATGAGGTGGAGTTAGATTAGGTAAATCAGTAAACACCTATAATTTTTTTTAAACATTTAAAATCAAGTTGTGAGACAGTAAAAAAAAGGTTGGGAATAAATGATCAACACTGCTCTTAAGAAACACTGTTCTTTGATCTGTTTCTGAAAGTAAAATGACTATAAGAAAAAAATAATATGGTGAATAATGATCATTTAAATATGCAGCATACAGATGCCTGAACAGAAAAGGAAATAAATGTATTTAAGACATGGTGCAACACACCATTTGAGAATGTTTAATTATAGAAAACACGAACTTGATGGAAACAAAAAGGAGAACATAATTACAACATGAATACGGCAGCTCTACTGCAGTGTGAACATAGGCAGAAGAACTCAATAAGCATTTATGCCATATACAAGTTAAGCACACCCACACTAGCACTCGTCCATGAAAGTACAGTTTAAAATAATGTACAGAAAAGTACACAAGATACTTGATAGTACACTAGGAAACCATCAGAAGAAGCAAGTGGTAGACACTATTTATATTTAAAGTAGAGACCTGCTGCCAGTTCATTTTAAATTTCTTTTTATTTTTATCTGACCAACCTGAAGAATATGAGTATGTCACTGTTCAGATGTACTGGTTAAAACATTAGTATTTTAGACAGATATTAAACATTTAAAGGTTTAATCTGAGCTTTGTTTGTGGTATTTATAGATCATATAACCATAGCATGTTAAGCTAACCGAGTGTGCACTATTATTTTTTCAGTGTAGTGCTAACGTGTATGATGGTTTTTAATCTAAAGAGTATACATCATTATTGTAGCATATATGAGGTTTGTGCAATGTTGAGATGGTATGGCTCTCCACAAGGTGGAGCCATATGGTATATACCGGTAGGTAAATGAAATCTTCCAGTAGCGATGCTTATGTTAACAGAATTTTGATAATCAAACTTTCAAAATAAAACCTTTAAAAAAATTCTCCCAACTGTCACTAAAATTAAAAGTGGTCAGAATGCATACTAAAGCTGTGTATGTGTATGTCACTGCATTTCAGAAGGTACCGGTGAAGTCACGTTTGTATTACCTGACCGTTTTGGATACATGCAAGCACTTAAATGTTACTCTTAATATTTAATTTACACCCAGAAGGTAACAATTAAAAGTTGTGTAAAAACAGCTGAGAAAGTGAAGTCAGTTCACTTCCTCCACAGTGGTAAGACACATAAGTTTGACATAGTTGCAATAAGGTTACAGTACAAAGACCACTAAATGTACAATTGACATCATAGGTTGAGATTTTTTCCATTCCCCTGAGCATCAACTCCAAAGAAACCTTAGCCTCCTTAGCCCTGAAGTTAAAGTTAAATCTGCATAAAACAACTTTAGCTTGAAATGTCAGTGTTACACAATCTCTTTCATGCCCTTCTCTCTTTTACTTTTACTCAGACCCAGTCACAGAGATTACTGCAGTAGGATCAAGTGATTCAGAGTTTTTTTCTATACTTGTAACATCACAGTTTTATTTTTAAATAAAATTCTTCTTTATTTGGCTATAACTATCTGAAATTGTAAAAGCAACCCAAAACAAAAACGAGCCTTTTCTTGATGAAAAAAATAATGTCTGTTCATTTTAATCATGACTGGTATTTTTTCAATAACTTCAAAAACACTCTTGAATTTCCTTTGTACTCACTTAGATACATTCTGATATGTGCTATCAAATTGTAAAGAAAGAAAAAAAAAAAAGCAGAGATAAAGATCATTATGATAAATAAAGGTACTAAGTACTAAAACAGTAGTTAGCTCTGTGTTTTGATTTTCATGCATAACTGTGTTTTCAAATTATTTTGGTAACCACCCAGTTACAGTCTAGTAGAGCATTAAATGTATTCAGAATTTAGTCATGTTTGCAAACGATTTACTGTAATGTACTGTAAAGTTTTCATTATGTGTGTAAACCATAACCCACTAAGAGTCTGAGATATAACTCTACACACCAAAGAGTTTTATAACCACATAACCTCATAAATTTACATCCTTGTTTAATAATGTTTTAAACTATAGAGGGATATTTCATTCTGTTCCAATTAAAATCCACAGGTCAAACAGGATAGTTAAACCAGCCCATTTTAGAGATGAAGAGAAACGTAAGTATAAGTAGTAGGTGAGAAACTTGGTGTGATCACACTATACTTCTGAAAGGAAATGTTTTAAACGGTCTTGACAAAGTTACAGAAACACACCACCTCCTTACAGTTGTAGTTCATGCATTTTACATTTTTGTGCAATTTTCAGCTTACTTGCAACTGATTGGAAACATTTTGGCCATGACCACATCAGCCAGAGCTTGCAGCTTCAAGGACGATCGAGGATGTACATATGCATGCATGTGTGTCTTTGTTTTAGTATGTGACGAGTTTTACACACACCAAAGCTAGCTGGCGCTTCCTGAGTGGTAAACACGAGTGACTGACTGTCCCTGTCTGCTTTCCACCACCCTGTGCTATTTTATACTGACACACACACATCGAGAGTTTCAAAGTGTTGATGTCAGAAAACTCGAAGTATCACGTTTATTACCTGTTTTTAAAAAATACATAAAACTCTCAATTGGGAACACAGGTAACAGTAAATACATGCAGGTAACAGCCAAGCTCACTTATGAAGAAATATTTATATAATATTATCCAGAATAATTTTTAAAACTAAAGATGATGAGATTGAAGATAACATGGAACAACATGACTGACATAAACATGTTGAAGACCCACCAAGCTCGGAAAAAACAGCTCTAAAATTCATTATAAGATTAGAATTTTCGAGATATGATAAAACATGTGAAATACATCATAGCACATACCAAAAAAAGCCAAATGTTAACATTTTTTTAAATACAAGAAATAGATAAAAAAGAACTATATTTAACAAGTACATTCTCTTAGATAATCTCACATTTTTTACAGGCCAGAAAGAAAATATCAAACAGTAATTTCCCCCAAAAAATAACGTTCCACCCGAGTTAACGATGAATTTGAATTACACATTTTATTTGTGTTTTTGGTGTTGCCACATCATTTCCTGTTGTCTTGTTGGTCAGTGTGCAGATTAAAAAAGGGAAGTATAAGAGTTAAATTGTCAAGGAAGTCGTTGAAATGAGGAAGCTTCAGAGCTCCACCGCTTTACTGTGTGTCAGTACTTAAAGTAAAGGTTAACCTGCTTCAGCTGGAAAACACAACCAGGATACCCGTGAGTGTAAGCTCCCTGGTTTTATGAGATATTGACAGCACTTTTTTTTTTTTTGTCAGGAGCTGACTGAATTTAAGATGACCTGTTCATGTATTGCTCAGACTGTTGGAAGTTGATATACTGAAGGGCTGAAAAACTCAACTGGGCTCTGAAGTTGAACAGTGGAACTAGTTCACAACAATATCTACAGTAAGTGTAGTCTTTGTGTCTTCTTTCAAAAACGACTATTTAAAATTGACCAGTAAGCTACATTTGACTGTCTCGTTAACGACAATAATTATACTTCCTCTTTTTTTTACTGTCTTATCGAGGCTTACCATTTCTCACTAACTGCTGACTTGTTTTTGATCAGAAAAAAAAATCTGCCCTACAGTGTGAGATCATTTTCATTTGTTCATTTGTCACTTGCTGCTGTGCTTGTTTTGGGAAGTAATAATTATGTTCAATGAATAACACATTTAAAATCATTTAAGTGATTTGGCCATTGTTTTCTTATTTTACCATTCTAATAGGGTTTTTAAAGAAAAGAGAAAAGAATGTTCTGGATCTCGTGTTATCTACAGTGTCAGATTATCAGGAGGCACTTTTAGCATCTTTTTTCAGCTGTGGAAAATAATAAAATACATTTGACCAAAGTGCTTAATTCCACTTCTGAGCCTAAAAAAAACACCAGACATTTCAAATACTCAGCATGATTTCACTGAAACAACTGCCTCAGCTAAAAACTGATCAAGAAATAAAAATAATTGTGTCTAGCATAGCATTTTTTTTTCTGGCACGTGTCTTTGGGTTCTTTCCAACTGCATAAGCCATTGAATGACACCACAGAGTTTGGGTGTGACACATTAAAGGATGCCCAGTACTGAAATTTGGATTTAAAAAAAAATATCATCAAATTTATCTGTAAACAAAAGTGTTACAGTTAACTATCTGAACTGTCTTCAGAGACAGTGACAGCATTTTAGTGTGACATATTTATGACATGAGATCCGGGACAGCTTTTATACAAAAGTACTCTAACATTAATTCTATTTTTGAGGGAAATTTATTTGTAGTCCTCGTGTTTCGTTAAAGAAAAGGAAAACCCTACTCCATTTAGTAGCTGTTCTACCATATATCTATCTCTACGTGTGAAGTTATGGATGCTAGATTTAATTGTTTTTTCTGCACATTGAAAGCTATTTGTACATTCCTGCTTAGCAAGTAAAATGATTAAAAAGGATTAACTGCTAGTGACTAGCATTTCATTGAAAACAAAAAATACAAAGTACAACTCAATCAAAAATAACATCAAACAGTCTGAAAGGAAGGTAGATTCTCAAGGAGAGCAGAGTTCAAGAGGTCTGTAGTGTGATGACATTGTCAGGAAATACCAGAAGCTGCTTATTTTAGGTCACAAATGTGCAGCTTATTCCCTTTTAAATTTTTATTTTCAATGTTAGACTGTTGTGCATTACAAACAGGAAAGATTTTGTTAACTGTTAAATGGAACAATGGGGTCATAAAAACAAGGTCAGTGCACTGTCTTAATATCTGCAACAGTTAAAAAAATGTCTAAACCTTGTATTTATTTATTTATTCTTTTATTTAATCGGTTAATCTAAGGTTTCATTTTATAATCACTGTGGTCACTTTACTTTAAGAAAAGCTAGAATTGTCTTGCTGAAACTAATCATGCGCACAGTGATCTGAAAAAAAGGCCTACCAATGATGGTCAGGTTTTTAAGGTCACCATCCTTGCAACTTTTCAGCTGAGTTTTAGTTTTCATTATGTGTACATTAATGGTTGTTGAATTTGAAATGGTTCTGTCTAACCAGCAAAAGAATGTCATACTTTCAGTTGCAGTCTGCATTCAGCATTAAAATAGATTCATATTTCTCTCAAAGAAGGAAGTGGTTTGTCAAAGTTATTTTCTTCCCAAAGTTGATCTATCACTTGTTGGTGTCCAGGATATACTTTGGTATCTTTAAAATGTTAGTAAAGGCAAATGAATCCTTATATTTTGGTGACTTGGTCAGGTTAGTTCCACATAAGAACCTAAAAACACAGTAAAGACAATAATAGGTGAAAAAGTCAGGAACCTGTCTATGTGGTGTCTTTATGGCTAAAACATGGCCAAAACCTTTGACAGCTCAGACTTATTTCTGACCTTTGTGAGTTCAAAAAGCAATGCTGCTGAAACCCAATGATAACTTTCTTTATGTGCTTTAGTTTACATTGCAAAGCAGGTAGGCAGCTCTACACGAAAAAAAAAAAGTATCCAAATTTTATAAACACTATCACGTCATGTCTTCTGGGAACTTAAAGTGAGCTTGAGCCATTTAAATATTGTGCTTCAAATGGTTAAAGTTATTGTTTTTTCAGATTTTAGTTTTCATGCAAAAGAGCAGCTGTGCTGTGCAAATTTAGACAGAGTTAAAAATAACACAAAACAAAAAATTCCCCGGAAACAAAAATACTGCTGTGTTTAAACAGGCAGAAACTAATCACCATTTTTGCATTATGAAAGACTCAAAACACAAAATGGAATACACATTTGCAAACTAAGAAAATCATCACACATGTTGACTTTTCAGTCACCATATGCTGGGATTGTTTATTGTTTGTGATTCGATTGTGGGATTCAGTGCTAAATGATTTATCATGTCATGCAATTCTACTTGAAATCTGTCTCATTTCCTATTTGTTTCCAATTTTTGTTTTTAGGTGAATTTCATCCTAGTGGAAGAAGTTTGTGAAGGGACTTCCTTAAAGGGAGCCACTCACCAAAAGCCAGTATGGCTGACAATGTAAATTCATTGCCATTCTTTTATGGCAATATTACCAGGGAAGAGGCAGAGGACTACCTGCGGCAGACAGGCCTAAGCAATGGCCTGTACCTCCTACGCCAAAGCCGAAACTATCTTGGAGGCTTTGCACTGTCCGTGTCAAATGCAGGCCGTTGTTACCACTACACAATTGAAAGACAGCCCAATGACATGTATGCTATTGCTGGTGGTAAGAGCTACAGAAGTCCCGTTGATGTGATCGACTACCATTCCCAAGAACCAGACGGTCTTGTGTGTCTGCTGAAGAAGCCTTGTAACAGGCCCAAGAACATGCAGCCGAAAGTTGGGCCGTTTGAGGACCTGAAGGAAAAACTCATACGGGAGTATGTAAAGCAGACCTGGAACCTGCAGGTAAGTTTCAGCTCTATTATATAATATAAGAAAACCATATTTGAAATGAGAAGTCAGAACTTTATGGAATACCATAGCAAACTAAATGATGGTTTTTTGCAGTTTGGGCTTTATTTACATTCATGATAAAAGTCACCAACATAATTGTTGAGATGTTAAAAGTGTATTTTACATTTTACACACATTAAATTTTGTTAATAAACCCTAGGCCTAGAAAAAGCATATAATTGCAGGAAGTAAAGAAGGTCAGAGGAAAGTCACTTTGGTCTGTCTCCAATTTTGGTAATAATGTTACTTTGACTTCTTTTAAATAATGCTACTGTGTTACCATATCTTGATCAAAAGGCTACCTTTAAAAATTGTCCTCATTAGTAGACCAGACCAGATAAGACCATCATGGACTCCCAGTAATGTTGAAGGGAATCAACAAAATTTCCATTGCTCACTTCAGGAGGCCCAAATAGCAACTGATAGCTCAGGTTGTGTTGATGTTCTAGTATCTCCACCACAACAATAGTGGTATCCAATCTGTCTCTTCCATACTGAAAATTCAATAATGATGGATTGGATTTATATAGCGCTTTTCAAGGCACCCAAAGCGCTTTACAATGCCACTATTCATTCACTCTCGCATTCACACACTGGTGGAGGCAAGCTACGGTTGTAGCCACAGCTGCCCTGGGGCAGACTGACAGAAGCAAGGCTGCCATATCGCGCCCTCTGGCCAACACCAGTAGGCGGTAGGTAAAGTGTCTTGCCCAAGGACACAACGACCAGGACAGAGAGCCCAGGAATCAAACCGGCGACCTTCCGGTTACAGATACGCTTCCCAACCCCCTGAGCCATGGTCGCCCAGATAAATGGTTATCTCAACTATTCCTCAGACTCTGCTGCTTGTGCGTCACCTCTTGTTCTCAATTGCACATGGATGTATGTACAAAACCACTTCTTAGACAGGCGCAATATGTAAGTCAGCCATTATACCTGGATAAATCTAGAGTTAAAGTGAGTTTTATGAGTGTGCTCTGGGTGGACGTAGGCAGCATTAATCTAGCTTTATATTACAAGTGCAGCTAAGTGTGTTGCCTGTTTGCAGGGTGCAGCTTTGGAGCAGGCCATCATCAGCCAGCGACCTCAGCTGGAGAAGCTCATCGCTACCACTGCTCATGAAAGAATGCCCTGGTTTCATGGAACAATAACACGAGAAGACTCTGAGCCCAGGCTTCAATGTGGCCCGCGTGCAAATGGAAAGTTTCTGTAAGTATTATATTAATTCTCTTTTTATTAAATTATTTGCTGTGTTTGCAGGCAGTAGTAGAAAATCCTATAAAAAGTCAGAAGAATAATATCATTCCTCTCATGGTAAAATTTTACACTGCGTCTTTTGGTTCTGGTCTGAAAAATAATTGTCTTTTCATGTTTCATGTTCATGTTTTGTTAGTCCTGATCAATAAATTTTAGAAAACCAGTTAAAACATAGTTTTAAAGAACTGCTTGCGGTTACTACATGGATTGAATTTGAGTTCTATCTGACAGGGTAGAAAAATCTAACTGAAGAGCATTTAGAGTTATGGCTTGGAAGAAAACCTCTTTATGGACTTTACGATTCCATATTTATATTCATAATTTTTCTATTCAATAAAATGAATCACTTGTACAAGTTTAGCTGGGAAACCTGCCACTGATAGTGTGTGCAAATAGTGTGCATTGAATTGACACAGCTGAAGAGACCTTAACCATGATGGAAGACAAAATATTAAAACATCTGTCTGACTCTGGACTAATTGCTTTTAAAATGGCTTTTTTTTGTATTTTTCATACAGTGATTCTCGTGCTGAACTTCTACATTCTTGCCCGTGACAAAATGGCCCTCATGGCACTAGAAAAGACCTTGAAAAATGTAACGAGGTGTTGTTTTACAAACAAATGACATTGGTTTAATGTGGTTTTAATATTTCAGTTCCTCTTAGCTTCACTTTGTAAGAAGTTAGCTGGTAAAAAAATATTATTCAACTACATTTGCATTTTAAAAATATTTTAGTTTAACGTTCACTATGTTCATTGTGTTCATAGCATTCCTAACTGCTAAATAGGATAAACTAGAGTAAAAAAACATTACCACATTGGTAGAAATGTGACAAAACCTACAAGTGGTTCATGCACAGTAAATTGTTTTGTTATTTAATATTAATGTATTAATTCACTCAGAAAAGGATGCTTTTGGGTTTTTTGTTTGTTTGTTTGTTTGTTTGTTTTAACCCTGAAAACAGTGAAATCAGACTCAAACGTTCAGCTGTTTCAATGACAGTAAAAGTCTTATTCAGATTCATTGTCTTACTTCATATTGCTGAGGTCTGGCCAAAACAGTAAATTAATTCATTATACACACAACACTGCAACATCACCTGGAATTGGACTGAGTCAGTTATTTATTTCACTGTTTTAAAGACAACATCAACAGAGTCTTTTCATTTATTTTCAAGAAAGCCATACAATATTCTGTAACCCAAATCCTCTCAGAACTTGACATTTTAATAACCTCATGAGGTTTCCATTTGGTTTGCCTTTACTTTACCTAACTTAACTATATGTTTATTTCAGAGGAGACAAATGAAAGACTATGGTGAGCAGCAAAAGTAAAGTAAAATAGTAATATTATCTGCAGCTTTACAAAATTAGTTAGCAAAAGAATACAGTCTCAGACAACTTACAACATCCAAATACTGAAGAAACACAATAACAAGCAGGGCAAGTACAGGACTGAAACTAGAACTCCTAAGATTGTGCAGTGTCATCCTTTTTTGTTGCATTTTCTGAGTGTTATCTCAAGAGCTGTGAACTCAAGATCAGTGAAGTGAGAAAAGAAAAAGCAAAGAAATTATTAAAGTTGAGGGTAGCTTTTTTCCCTCCAGGAGCTTCTGCCTTTCAGAGATAGCAAATGATTAAACTCTCACAATGACACGAAACTCAGTTCAGTTATGTGTCTGAGAAATAGGTTGGGCAATGAAAATATTTAGAAATTTCCTTTCCTCTGGGGCAGAACTCTTGAGTATTTCCTATTGAGTAGTTCTCTTATGTAACTTTTATTCTCAAAAAGGTGGAGAATAGATGAAGACTGAAAGATACATATTATGTAAATTTGTTCGTTGTTAAAGTATTTTTTAAATATGATTTTCTAATATGGTTTTGTAATGTAAGTGAAATACATCAAATTCTACAAATGCAAGCAGTCTAAACAAACACAGCTATGTTAGCACTGTATTGCTTCCATTCCATCTTATTACATTTCATTTGTCAAATGCATAAAATGTCTTTTTGCTTTGAAACCACTGAATAAAGTTTGTAAAGTATTTATAGAACCTCAAGCTTCAGTTGAGCGGCTGTGGTCTCGCTTGAAGAAAGAGAGGAACATACACATGCACACACACATACACACACATACAGACACAGAGAGACACAAACACACAAACACACTGTGGTTTCCGCTCTGGCAGTTTGCAAAGGACTTCCTGAAGTAGCCAAACAAGAGGGAGACTAACAGCAGGGCAAAATGTAACTGTTCTGTCCCTTCTCTCATGTAACATCTAGCAGGAAACTTACTTTCCACTGAAACACATCATCATGTTATGCTTATGTCTCTAAATTTTATTGAAATTTTGTTAAGAGTGAATCACATACTGCACACATAGCATTCTGGAGCACAGTTATTGATAATAGCACACAGGCTATTAGTTTTACTTCCTGTTTAGTTCTCCTTACTTCTTATTTACTGTAATGTCTCCATGTGATGAGGTTTTTTTTAAAATGCAAGTCTATGAAAAAAGTTGCACTTAGCCACAACTTATCACATCTGACACAGTATGTGGTAATAGGCGGGGTAACATGATTTCTCAATTGAAAATTCAGACTAATATTTGGTTTCATTGTGCTTAGTGAGCCATCGTAGATAAATAAAAAGCAATACAGACGCAGCAGTGGAAAATATTCATAATTTTCTGAATTAAAGTTGTAAATTTGCAAAATAAATAAATGAAAACAAACAGAAAAATGTACAAATTCATGAGTTCATTCATGAGCACTAGGATTTTAGGCCAATTCAGTTTAGTATTATTGGTATAGCTTCAAATCGCAACAGTTGCCTCAAGGTGCATAAGGTAAAGACTCTACAATAGGATTTTTTTTTACATTTATAGACATTTTTTCTTGTGACCTTGAAGTATTGTGCATGAATAATGTTAATACATCTTGAAACTGTAAAAAAAGATATTCATTGCTTTTGCGTTCCATAATAGCTATCAGATGAGTTGAAAAACCACCTAATCACTGATTCACAGTTTGCAGTCAGATGTGAACATTTTTGTAGTTATTTAATGGTATATATGTATATAATGAACTATCCATCCATCCATCTTCATCCGCTTTGTCCGGGGCCGGGTCGCGGGGGCAGCAGCCTAAGCAAAGAGGCCCAGACCTCCCTCTCCCCAGCCACCTCCTCCAGCTTATCCGGGGGAATACCAAGGCGTTCCCAGGCCAGCTGAGAGATATAATCTCTCCAGCGTGTCCTGGGTCTGCCCCGGGGCCTCCTCCCGGTGGGACATGCCTGGAACACCTCGCCCAGGAGGCGCCCAGGGGGCATCCTTGTCAGATGCCCGAACCACCTCAGCTGGCTCCTTTCGATGTGGAGCAGCAGCTGCTCTACTCTGAGCCCCTCCCGGATGGCCGAACTTCTCACCCTATCTCTAAGGGAGAGGCCAGCCACCCTTCGGAGGAAGCTCATTTCTGCCGCTTGTATCCGCGATCTCATTCTTTCGGTCACTACCCACAGCTCGTGGCCATAGGTGAGGGTAGGGACGTAGATCGACCGGTAAATTGAGAGCTTCGCTTTTACACTCAGCTCCCTCTTCACCACGACGGACCGGTGCAGCGTCCGCATTACTGCAGCTGCAGCCCCAATCCGTCTGTCGATCTCCGGCTCCCTTCTCCCATCACTCGCGAACAAGACCCCGAGATACTTGAACTCCTCCACTTGGGGCAGGAACTCATCCCCGACCCGGAGTGGGCACTCCACCCTTTTCCGGCTGAGAACCATGGCCTCAGATTTGGAGGTGCTGATCCTCATTCCCGCTGCTTCACACTCGGCTGAGAACCGTTCCAGTGCGAGCTGGAGGCCCTCACCCGATGAAGCCAACAGAACCACATCATCTGCAAAAATCAGAGATGAGATTCTGAGGCCACCAAAGTGAAAGCCCTCCGCCACTTATAATGAACTACAGAAACAAAAACAGTTTCAAATGATTCTCCTTTTTTTTTCTATGTGAAGGATTCGGCAGAGAGATGCGAATGGATCTTATGCTCTGTGTTTACTGCATGAAGGACAAGTCATGCATTATCGTATTGACAAGGACTCGGCTGGCAAGCTCTCCATTCCAGAGGGCAAGAAATTTGACACCTTGTGGCAGGTAATCCCAGTGTGCTTTATATTTATGGGCTACTTAGAACATTTCAACAATCTTAATCTGTTTGAAATTGTATAATGTATTACAAGGTGAGGTGGTAAAACTTATGTGTGTACTCTGCCTACACCTCTGTTTAAACACAGCTGGTGGAGCACTACTCATACAAACCAGATGGTCTTTTGCGAGTACTAACAGAGCCCTGTCCAAGGCCTGATGGAGATATTGGTGAGAAACACAAACACAACTAATCGAAATGTGTTTACAGGAAGACTTTCATTGAAAGCAAATTTCACTGCATGTTAACTAATATCTAATAATCTAAATTATAACACTGTATACACAGCTGATTAACATTTGTCTTATTCCATGTTCACAGGGCTGATAGGACGGCCTTTTCTTCCACCGGGCCATCCTAGACTTGGTTCTGCCATTGTAAGTTGCATTAATACATTCAACTGAAACAGAAAATGCTGGTTAAATTGGCCTCAGCAGTCAGCCTGTATGGGTTACCATTAACCATTACGACAAGGGTTGTTTTTTATTATTAGAATGATATGGCTTCTTCAGGAAGCCCTGTATGGTAAAACAAACATAGAAATGTTTCTTGTAATGTGTAGATGAATGTGTGTGTCAGACGACTTCACACATCCTCGTTTGGAGCTATTTTTCCCATTAATCTTTTTCCTATTGTAATAATTTCATGCATGATTTTAATATTACCATTAATGATAACCTCTCTGACATTTTGATTTTTAGCAAAGTGCGACAGATGGATTTTTCACCATCATCAGTAAAGTTCCCGGCATAAAAAAGGTGCATTACACACATCCTGTTTCCTCAGTCATAGTTGCTCACAGCAGTGTGTAACCTCCACCTTCCTTCTACCTCTGCACTTCTTCACTAATGGAATGTGGATTTCTATTTACTAACTCTTTCTTGCAATATTAGTCCTTTGAATTATGTCCTTTCTAATCCCTCTGATAGATCTCACATCCAAGTAAATAATGGATGTCAGTGCACACAAGCTTATTGAATTGGTGTGACATCTTAGTTGGTGTATTTGTAATTATGTTTTAACACCATCCAGAGGTTACCCAGTGCAATTACATTATAGAACCACAAGCAGCCATTTGGTAGCTTTCTATATGTGCTTGTGATAATATTGTCCACATGTTCCATCCTTTAAAATCCCTCTGCCATTTTTTCTTTTGTTTTGTTTTCTTTTTTATTCTTGTTTTTGCCTGGCTTTGTTACAGTTAAGTTTTGGATCAGATGTCTTTTTTTCTTCCCTTTTTGAATCCTGCAGTTTTATCTTGTACAGTCTTCTTCCTAATTTTTTCTGAGATTTTATGCTTGAGATGTTTGAGAGTCAAAATACCCCCTGACTGTAAACTTGTCTTAAACCCCTTCTTTGAAATCATGTGTTCACTTATTGCAGGTTACTTTCAGCAGTAAGTGCTATTTAGCTATACTTCGTGCATTCTCATAATGAATGTTCTTTAACACTGTCTCCTCTGATGATAACAGAACCGACCATCTCGTCCCAGGCCTCCAGATAACTCCAATCCTTATGAAACTAGGATACCCGGTAAAGGTAAAGGTAAGACTGCCTTTGTCAAACCCTATATTGATGTACTGTTGTTCAATTGCTAACTTGCTTGTGCATGTTCCATACTGTGTAAATATTATTTAGCATAGATTCTATGTCATGTTGGGTGTAATCTGGATTGCAGAGAAAATGTACGCCATGCCTTCTGATGATACTGCCTAAAGGAAGCATGTATAATGTAAAAGGAATTAATCTTAGCATGAAACCCTGTGGAACTCCATAAATAACCTCAGTGTGTGAAGAGGACTCTTCATTTACATGAACAAATTGGAGTCTATTAGAAATATATGATACAAACCACTGCAGCATAGTACGTGTAATACCTACAGCGTGCTCTAATCGCTGTAATAGAATATTATGGTCGACAGTATCGAACGCTGCACTGAGGTCTAGCAGGACAAGCACAGAGATGAGTCCACTGTCAGAGGCCACAAGAAGATCATTTGTAACCTTCACTAAATCTGTTTCTGTGCTGTGATGAGCTCTGAAACCTGACTGAAACTCTTCAAATAAACTTTCCCTTTGCAGATGATCTGTTAGCTGTTTGATAACAACTCTCTCAAGAATTTATTTGTGATGAAAGGAAGGTTAGAGATTGGCCTATAATTAGCTAAGAGAGTTGGGTAAAAACTGTTACTATTTTAAGTAAAGGTTTAACTACTACCAGCTTGAAGGCCTGTGGTACATAGCCCATTATTAGAGATGGGTTGATCATATTTAAGATTCAAGCGTTAATTAATGGCAGGACTTCTTTGAGCAGTCTTGTAGGAATGGGGTCTAAAAGACATGTTGATGGTTTGGAGGAAGTAATTACGGAAGTTAACTCAGAAAGATCAATTGGAGAAAAAGACTCTAAATGAATACCAATGGTACTGAAAGTAACTGTAGATAATATTATGTCTGTGAGATGGTTACAAGCAATATTTCTCTAATGGTGACAATTTTATTTGTAAAGAAATTCATCAAGTCATTAAGGTTAAACGAATGGTTGGCTCAAAACAAACTTGTTTTCAGCCTGTGCTTAAGAGAAACCTAAGGTTGTCCTTATTTTCTTCAACCAGCGATGAATAGTAAGATGTTCCAGCTTTGTGAGGGCTTATTTTTAAATAAAGCAGCAAACAATTTTTCCAGACTACGTAATTATTTTAATATCTCTAGCTTACTAGTTATTGGTTTTAAAGGTGTGTATTGAGAATTATACCAGGGGATCAAGTATTTCAGACTCCCTGGTATATTTGAGGGTTTTTTTTCTGGGGCGCTACAGTATCCAGAGTTGTATATCATGAAGATGTAAAGAAATGAAAAAGATAACTGACCTCTGTGTGAGTACCGTTCACGTAGCTGCTCTGTGTAACAAAAGCATACAACAAACGGGACAAAACACAAGCAGACAAAAGATAATCACATGCAATATTGGCATATGAATCTATAGAGAGTGAAAGGAAAGTACTTAGTGCTGTCAGCAGAATAGACCTAACCAAGAGAGCATCCAGGTCACCTGATCCAGACCAAAAAAGGAAAGCCTCTCACTACGACTCCATATCAATGAGACAAGACAAGGGATACTTTTAATTTTTGTTTGTTTAACAAAAACCAAGACTATTCCTTTACCCTGAAAATGTAACTCGAGATGACCAGTCTTCAAGGAAAATTAGGATGAACTTTAACTTGAATCTGTCAGAAATGACAGATTTTTTGGATTACAGTAATCGGATTTAAAAAATGCATTTCTTTTCACTTTCAAATGAGTGATGCTAAAGGTACAGTACTCCTTCAATATTTTTTCCAGTACAATGTTTTTCAAAAATAAGTAAAATCAGTTTTATGCTTTCATATAGGGGACATACTACACTGTTAGAGAAAACATCTTAAAAAAACAGTAATATTCCGGCAGCTGGGGCGCCAAAATAATACCGTAAATTAACAGAAGATAACTTACTCATAAAAATACGGTTATTTCCATTAATGAAAATACAATTTGTTGCCCTAATTTTACATGGGATTTTACCTTTTTCAAGTGCTTTGAAACATTAAATTTGGAACAATTTAATGAAATTACCTATAAACAAGGTCAATTAATGTGGCAATATGAATAATAATATTTAAATATACAGAAATATACACTTAACAGTTGGTTTAAATAATAACGGACTGCATTCATATTGCGCTTTTTGAGACCCTCAAAGTGCTTTACAATTCTACTTTATAATTCCCCTCTGGCCATCACCAGTGAGTGGTAGGTGAAGTGTCTTGCCCAAGGGCACAACGACCAAGAGTGTCCGAGCCGGAGCTCGAACCGGCAACCTTCTGATTATAAGGCCTAATAGCAATGATAATAATAATAATTTGATGTAAAAAAAGTTTATAAGAATCATTTTATATATTTTTCCATAGCATTACATTTGAATTTAACAGTTCAATCTTTCAAATAACGGACAAATATTTGTGAAATCATGATACATTTGTGAATGTATTTTAACAATCTAAATATGCATATGTACAGACAAATACATTTAAAAAACAAGAAAATTGTGTTTTATTACATTACAGTGATTTTACGTTAATTTACACTTGAAATGTGAAATCACAGTCTATTGATGTAAATTTAATGATATTCTAGAAGAACAGTACAAAACTGTAAAATACACAGTAAAATCCTTTTATATTAGGATTTTCTTTTACAGTGTAGACAGATAGATTATGATAAATCTGAATAGGGAAAATCTACCTGAATAACGAGCTATTATTTTGGCTAGAGAACATTCTAAACTTGTAAAATCCAAATTCACATGTTTTCATTTAATATTTCACTGCTTCCTAATTTTGACATGTTGAATTCTTCATCAGAGGCCATGCCAATGGACACAGAGGTATATGAGAGTCCTTATGCGGATCCAGATGAACTGCGGAGTTCTACAGTGGATCGCTCACATCTTTTCTTGGAGGATGGAGAACTGGGCTCTGGGAATTTTGGTACCGTCATGAAAGGCACCTACAAGATGAGAAAGTATGCTACATTAAACCATATTACTACATACAAACATTGCACCACAATGCTTTGTTAAATGATCAGACTTACAAATTTAAAATATTCTCCCTATCATAAATGATATTTATGATTTGCTGACTGCAGCAGGCAAACTCACTGTCAGTGATTCACTGATATAACCCAAAAAATAAAACATGAGTTCAGCACATCTTGTTTCATGGTTTTCCCAAAGAAATATTCAATCGGTTATTCAAATTCCAAAAACACACAGCTCATATCATACAAATCAAAACCAAGCAAAGTCCACAGGACACAAATATCACAGTCTTGGTCCCTGCAGTCATTAAAAGATGGCTTCATTATAGCACCCCCCCTCCCTTTATACAGAATGCAAGTGTATACTGCTTTTGTCTTACTGGTTTACTTTATTGACAGTTGTGTCTATTGATATCCGTACCACTATGTTGTTTTGCTGATGATGAATGTTGACTGTGGATGAGTCAAAATGTCTGAAAAATGCATTTCTGTTGTAGTAACATATTAATACTTACACTAATCCATGTTGCATATCAGGACAGAGAAGACAGTTGCAGTTAAAGTCTTGAAGAATGATGATAATAACCAGTCAGTACGTGACGAAATGCTGCGGGAAGCCAATGTAATGCAGCAGCTGGACAATCCGTATATTGTCCGGATGATTGGTATCTGTGAAGCAGAGAACCTCATGCTAGTTATGGAGCTGGCTGAGCTGGGACCCCTCCACAAGTTCCTGCAGAAAAATAAGTATGTACTGCGACTTGGCCTTGCTCTTTCCTCAATTTGGTTTGTTTGAACATTGTTTTTTTTTCTTCACATTAATGCAAGTACATTATGATAGAGTCTGAATTTTTATTTATAAAGGTACTGTTTTGTGGTAAGTTACTTGAGTTATTCTACAAGTAACTCAAGTAACTTATAGAATAACAAGTTATTCTACAAGTATCTACATTAGCTACAAAAGAGCACTACACAGTAGCAATTAGAGCTTGCAATATTCACATCAGCTAAGATATGTGCAAATGTCTGCTGAGAAACACATCCTATCCAATGCCGTACTTCTCCATTCTCTGTTTCAGTGTTCTCTGAAACACCTACACATCCCATTTCACTCTTAATCAAAACTCTAGTATTGTGGTCAATATTGTAATCTGCTAGTTTAGGAGATTGAAGTGACAAATCACTTTTTTCTAAATGTGAAGTTATTTATAAGTTTTAGTTTCAAAATAACAGTATATAAAAAAATCAAAGATTTCAAAATACAGTTCTCATATTGTGTGAGGTTTATGGTGGCTTTTAGAGTTAAAGTAACAACAACTCATCTCCAGGCAAACGGCCATAAAGAATATCACAGAGCTGGTCCATCAGGTGTCTATGGGGATGAAGTACCTGGAGGAGCATAACTTTGTCCACAGGGACCTTGCTGCAAGGAATGTACTGCTGGTCACACAGCACTATGCCAAGATCAGTGACTTTGGCCTCTCTAAAGCTGTTGCTGAGGATCAAAACTACTACAAGGTAACATATGGTATAGGATGACACGTCATCTGTCCTTATACTCTCAAAAAGCCTTGATGGTCCATCTCTATGAACGTCTTAGATTTTTCCCAAAAAGTTGATTCTGTTCATGAGGACGTAGCGTTTTCAGTGAGAGAAACATTTTGTCTAAAGAAGTCACTTTGATGACTGACAAAATATTTCTCCCACTGAAAAAACTGTCCTCATGAACAGAATCCCACAAACTTTTTGGGATTTCCTTATCTTCATGATTGAGCATGCATCAACACTCTTAGATTTTTGTTTAAAAGTAAGTCACTCTCAATGAAAGTGTTACTGTAAAGCAGGGGTAGGCAACTCCTGGCCTCAAGGACTGTCCTGCAGGTTTTAGATGTGTCCTTGATCCAACACAGCTGATTCAAATTGCTAAATGACCTCCTCAACATGTCTTGAAGTTCTCCAGAGGCCTGGTAATGAACTAATCATTTGATTCAGGTGTGCTGACCCAGAGTGGGATCTAAAACCTGCAGGACACCGGCACTCGAGGCCTGGATTTGCCCATCCCTGCTGTAAAGCATTAAAATAACTGTAACACTAACACCAGTCAATCTGCCTTACTTGTATCTGTTATCATATTGTGAACACTACTGCCAGGAACCAGTCCTAATCATTGTGTTATTTGAAGCTGCAAAATGACCAGTGTGGCATGAAATTAAAACTAGTTATGTTTGCGTGTCTCTCCCTTTAGGCAAAAGGTCATGGGAAGTGGCCAGTGAAATGGTACGCGCCTGAATGTATAAACTACTTCAAGTTCTCATCCAAAAGTGATGTGTGGAGCTTTGGGGTGCTCATGTGGGAGGCTTACTCCTATGGCCAAAAACCATACAAGGTATTATTATTATTGAATATAAGGAGTTATGGTGACACATGTAACCTCACTCACTCACACATTGTGTTTTTGTTTGAATATTAGTTTAATATTCAAACAGCTGTTGCAGCCTTTATTTTGTTAATTTTTATTCTTTATAGTTGCTGTCTTATGTAAACTAAATGACTACAAAACAAATGTTTCAGATTTGTTTAGTTGTAATTTATAGAATAATTTTGTGATGTGTACTCACTGTCTACCTATGAAATCTTGACCTATGAATTGCATGTATCATAATGATCTTGGCACGGTGGTTAGCACTGTTGCCTCACAGCAAGAAGGTCCTGAGTTCAATTCCACCATCAGGCCGGGGTCTTTCTGTGTGGAGTTTGCATGTTCTCCCCATGTTTGCGTGGGTTCCCTCCGGGTACTCTGGCTTCCTCCCACTGTCCAAAGACATGCAGCTTGTGGGGATAGGTTAATTGGATAATCCAAATTGCCACTAGGTGTGAGTGTGAATGGTTGTCTGTCCTTGTGTGTTGGCCCTGGGACAGACTGGCGACCTGTCCAGGGTGTACCCCGCCTCTCGCCCTATGACAGCTGGGATAGGCTCCAGCACCCCCCGCGACCCTGAAAAGGATAAGCGAATGGATAGATGGATAATAATCTTAGTGTGTGACTTTAGAATTATGTACTAACCTTCTTATTGCTATTAAAAAATAATGGTTGCAACACAAAAATTATGACTTTGATAATCTCTATGCCTTTACATTTTAATTTATTTGATGGCGTCTTATTTGTTCTGAATTTTTAACTCCTTACAGGGAATGAAAGGAAATGATGTCCTGCAGATGATTGAAAGTGGTAAGCGTATGGACTCCCCAGAGAAGTGTCCACTGGAGATGTATGAGCTCATGAAGACCTGCTGGACATATAAGTAAGTAACATGTTCATCATAAGGCATTAGCTGAACAAACAGCAAACCGGTTTATGTTTTATGGACATCTTTTGTGATTATTGCATGTTATTTTCATGTCTTCCAGGGCAAATGAGAGGCCTGGATTTAATGTTGTTGAGCCAAGACTACGAGATTATTACTACGACATTGCACAGTGATTGCTCACTTGAATGTTATGAGACTATGCAAACTAGTGGCTGATGATGAAAATGAGCTTTTACACATATTGGTTCAGAGATTGTTATGGATAATAAATGCTGTAAAATATAGACTTTAACTGGAATATATTCTCTTTTAATATAAACTCTGATTATGCAAATATAATTCCTATTACTTTTATTTGTTCTTGAATGTAAGCCATATGAAAATGATAATAAACTGTTACAAGTCTATCTTATTTCACGGCAATCACTGATGTTATACCTAAAAACTACATAACTTACTGTTTTCCTATAAGCTTCCTAATATCAACATACAATCCGACCTTGTTTAAGCATCTTCAGCACTCTGAGTTTCTGTACTTGCATAAACAATTCTAAGATGAATAAATTACATTCATATGCCTTCAAATTATTTTATATATATACATTGTCAAAGTCAGTGACCAAGTGGTTGGTTGACATATAAAACATTAGAGTAACTCAAAATCTGACGAAGGATTTGCTGCTATTTTGCGCTTTTGGTTATTGAGATGTCAGGAAACATTAGCTGTTTACAAAAACCTCAGCTAAGAGCAATAAAGTAGAACAATTCAAATGGATTGTTGAGCCACTTCCTGAACAGAAAAACATCGGCAAACAAATGACTAGAGCTAGAGCTTCATAAATGCATTACAAATCTTTTTCAAAAGTAAACCTATCTATTTAGGTACCAAAATCTTAAGCCTCTATACCTGGTACAGATGATTGTAGCAAACCAGAACAAATTACTCTAAAGAACTGGTGGAAATGAAACATGGCAGCAACACATCACACAACCCTAGGATTCTGATTAAAACAAGATGTTAACAAAGGTATCAACAACTCTCTCTGTGCCACAGAGATTGGAAGTGAAGAAAGATGATGAAGCAACTACAATGCCATCTTATGATGTGATATTTGTTTTTTTCTTGGTTACAAGTACAGTTTTTGGTAGTAAAGTTATATGTAAATCTGTAACAGTTCAAAAAGAAAAAGACATGGCATCAGATTCAAATCTGGAAGTTACTGAGGCCTTTTTAATCAGAGAATTAGAGCATTGCGAACACAAATGACACCAATAAAAGCCAACAGAGGGAGATGGTTAACAGAGGATTGGAATGCTAAGAATGTCTGCTTATATTACCTACAGATACATACTGTAATGTGAAAGACAGACTATCTGCTCTCTATCTATATCAAATGTTTAAACTGAGAAACGCTAGGTCAAGGACATGTTTATCTTTAGCTCCACCTCCTCTTGATCTATAAATATCAGTGAACTGAGGAGACCAGTTGCTGGAATATTGGCAGAGGAATATTGTTCTGATATACGATTCTAGCTGCTCAACAATCCCAGTTCTTCCATTTTTGTATCATGATACACCAGATGTTTTCCAACTGGTGAAAGGTCTGGACTGCAGGTGGGCAAGCTGGGTACCCAGGCTCTTCTACTATGAAGTCAAGCTGTTGTTATAGATGCAGTATGCAGTTTATCATTTACTTGTTGAATTATGCAGTGCCTTAAGTATATGACCATAGGTTTACAAAATCACATCTGGCAAGGTTCAAGGTAAATAATCTTCCTGTAAACAACAAAGATGACTGTTTTCAGATGGTCAGACAAGGTAGATGAGTAAGCAACCACACTTTATTGTGTACCATGTTGTAATCCACTGAGCTCCTGAGAGTGACTTGTTCTTACACAGGAGTTTGTGGAAGCAGTCTGCATGCCTAGGTGTTTGATTTTACAAAGGCAACCAGGCTAAGGGAGGGGCAGCTATCTACCACAGCCAGTTAGTGACTTGACAAATCACTTCAACCTGGAGACTACATTAAAGAGGATGCACAATACTGCCATCTTGTTTCCAGAGTTGGCTATTGTCGCTGAAAGCTGCATTTATTTTACGTTTCATCTCATAGCTCTGGCATCTCTGCCTCTGAGGGCTTGCTGTCGGTCTCCTGTTAACAATAACTGGAGCTAGGCAAGCTGAGAGATCAGCAGCTTGTTTTTGGTGGTTTGCGCATCCACATTGTGGATAACCCTCTGGTGTTTTATGGTAGACTGATGGGAAAAGAGAGTGCCAGGCAAGCTGCTGCTGGTTTCCTTTCACTGTTCTGTCATCAGTTACTAGCAGTGTGGAAACACAGTAGCAAATCAACAAGTTTCAGAAATCTGCCATCATAACAGATGAGTTTCATCTTGTTAACCACATTGATGGAGCAGGAAAAACTTGTTGCAGGTCCAGGCTCATCAGCACTTTCAGATTAACAGATTAATGAGAATGACTGAATGGAATAAGGGGTAAGTTGAATCTGAAGATCCTTAAAGCACGGTCAAATGTTAAAACGTTTTGTGTAACTATTTATGGAGTAAAACTGTGGAATAGCTTTACTGCAGAATTACAGCAATGCTCAGGAATTGGCAAGTTCATAAAGACACTTCAAAAATTACTTTCGGAAGGATATGATATTGAAAAAGACAATCACCCATTGTATGTATAAATATGTCAACTCGTATTGAAATTATAAATATCGTGCCAGCCTTGTTGATATAAGTTTTCTTGTGTATTGTGTGGAGTATGTGATGAGGAGAATTAGGTAAATATGTGGGATTAATAAGATGTCGAGCAGGGGTAGGAGTTAATAAGTATGTGCATACTTCTTCCTACTCCTTTTCAGATCAAACAACTGTTATCTCATGTTAGACGAATGTGTTTTATTTTATTATATTTCTTTCTTGTTTGTCTGTACAAATACATGTGTGTGTGTATATCTACACATATATTCGTATTCGTAAATGAAAATACATGTAGACGAGTATATATTGTTTTGTTTTGTTTTGTTTTTTATTATGTCTGAAATAAATAAAGATACATACATACATACATACATACATAAGCTTAACCAACTGTTTTGGCAATTTTCATATATATTTTGAATTCCCTGTGAATATTAACCTGTGGATACTGACCACATCACTCATTCCTCATGCCATTTAATTCAGCTGATTTTTAAAAAATTATATATTAACATACTTTTTGAAAACTCAAGATGTAGACCTGTGTTTCTGAGGTCATGAACAACTAATTCTTTTTCACAGGTATTTGGTCCTTAAAGGACAGTCACTACAAATGTGATATTTAGAATATGATGCTCAACATTAAATAGAAATAAAGTATTTAAAATGGAATTAAACTTAAACATAGCACAACAACAGTAATATTAATCTGGCACTGCCTCAGGATATCACGTTGCATGCACTAGAATACAAAGCAATATCCCTTTGCACTCTGGTGAAATGGACTAATGAGGTACATACACCCAGAGTTTTGTCATACTCCATATGCTGCTTTTGAGTTTTAGTGAGCCAACTGAAAAATAATTTCCCAGCAGCTTTTTGACACCAACAACTGGGTATGCTCATCCTCTGTGTGAGTGTCATGACTCACTTAATATAGTCTGTATAATATAATATATATAATATAGTCATTAAGAGATTAGGAAATATCAGTGCTACATTGGGGTGCACTATTTGGCCATCATTATTACTTAGTCAAAGGCTGAGTGTAGAGCATGGTCCTAAGATTGGTCCAGTAGAAATATTTTCCAAGGAGTGAACCAGCAGGGGTCTCCTGAGAAGGGCTCACCGTTTCCTCCTCCCCTGAGTCAGTGTCAGACAACCCCATGTCACAGCTGAGTGCAGCACAAACATCACATGTCCTTAGCAGTTATGAGTGCATGCCTAAATAATACCCCATTAAATTATTATTAACTTGTTGGCCAAACTATTCCCAGAATTAAGGGATGTGCCAGCTGGGAGCTAACCGTGCCACTATAACACTTATGACTACAAAGGGAACCCAGCAGAACACACAGACAGAGACTCTGAAAGGGAATTTAATGCAGTCTATTTGCAATGGTTTGTCTTTGTGAGATTTTGTTTCCTAAAAGCTCTTGGCTGATGATTATTTGTTTGCACGTATGGCCTAATGCAGTTCCAGAGTTGTTCGTAGAGCACAAACAAATGAATATAAGAAAATACTGATAAATCGTGCATTTATGCATGAAACATTCATATGTAAAGTTTGCACACACATTTGTGCATATGCACTGTTAGTGAAAGGCGAATTCTGGGATTAAATGGGACTAATGCAATGGTGATGCAACACTCCCACCATCAGGTCAAAATAAAAGTCAATATTGTGCTTACATCAAAAGGTTTGATCAAATCTACAACGCGATTTTTTCAATATAGTCTGACAAAAGAGTGTTTTTTTTAAAGACCTCTGGACATTTTAACATTGTCAGTGCTCTCTGTATAGTCTCTAGAAAACTTTATGACACCCCTTCTAAGTGAACTGCAGTCAGTGCTGCATATGCTCATAATCCACATACAAACTAAACCTGACAAAAGCATGTATGGCATATAAGTCCTTACCTCGTTTTATTCACTATAAGTAGAATTTTGCTATAATAAAACTACATTATATTAGTCTGGCACCAATAGAGATAAAGATTTCAGGGCTTTCAACTCCAAAGTGTAAAGCGCAGTTTGGCTGCTCTCCAAACATTACAAATGATCATAGCAGAAGCATCCAGAAAAAACATGTCAGTTCTTGGACTTTGCTACTGTCAGTCTGAAGTATGGATATGGACATTCATTTCATTTTTATTACAGAAGCAGAGCAGAAAAACTTTGGCTCTTTGCAAGCATCTGCACAGACACCTGCATGCTAACGCTAAGCTAGCCAAGAAGCCAGGTCTATGCTAAAGCTGAGTAAATGCCAAACCAGCAGCAGAGCTTGACCTTAACAGGTAACAAGTGGATGAGCAGTCAGGCATCTGTTTCTGCCTGTTCATGTTTTCATCCTCGCTTTGCTTTTGCATCTCTGGCAGCTTTGTGTTCATACCTAACTACTGGAGTACAAAATCATGTCTCTGTCCTCATTATAATAGAGATTTGTGTTATTTTATATTATTGGTAAATGGTAATTATGTGACAGTGCATTTCAGGACATTTTACAGAGTAATGCAAAAGTAACATAACAAGTTGTACAATGAATTAATGTATCCTGGGCGTAATTAAATAACATACTGCATTACTTTTAAGAGAGGTGTTCTGTATATTATGTGCACTACATTCCATTACCAACACAAACATTTGACCACATAGCATGTAATTAGTTTGCATGAATGTAGAGCTAATGAGAACC